GGTGTGGCAGATACACGAACAGGAACGGTGCAGCCCTGCAATTGCTTGCTCGGCAGAATCAGAATAAGTATTTATACTGAAGGAATCTGATGAGCTATAAAGCTCTTTTTTCCCATAGACGTCCAGTTGTTTAACAGATGTCCAGTAGTTTCACAGATGTAATGCCACTGCTGACAAAAAAAGGCCTCCACCCAGATAATATTTTGGCCCACTATTTAAACCTGGTCAGAAGTCATGCAAGAGGTGGAAGGACCCACAGTTTACCCCAGTACAAGCGACCTGCTGACGGACTGTGGCGAAGGGATTTAAGAAACGTGTACCTCGTGTCAACTGCCGTGACGAGAGATCGAACCGATGACTTCTGGATTACAAGTCCAGTGCGCTGACCGTTCGATCAGGGCAGCCACCCAACCATCACTAACCTCCACACAAAAGTGACACAGGTGCTGCTAATGATGATTGAATTGACAGCCGCCTCATACATATTTATTCTTCAATTACGGTTTATTTCCAAATTTTGTTTCAGAGCGGCTCAATGTTCGATATGGATCACAAGGTGCGACCTTGTGAATTTGATTTGCGACGTACAATGCGGATTGACGTACATAACATTGTTGCACTACCCTCATTATACCCCGAGCAGCTTGAGTTTGTTATTTAATTGTTACCATTGTGGTGATATTGACACGTATTTAGGGGGGGGGAGGACGACAAGTGAAGAACGTGCAAAGAACCACGGAGAGACGCATGCTCATAATTGTATTTAGACACCGTGATAGAGACTGTACCGGGGGATTTGAACTTAATGATGTTTACTTCTTGCTGTCGTTTAAAAATAATCTACTTGACGTTTTACACTTGGGATATATTTCAATTGAACTGGGAGCATCTTGCGATGAGTTCAGTATGATTGACAATGGCTGTTTGAAACCATCCAGAGTTGTACGGAAACATTGTACGAGCTGTATGTCGATGATGGTGGCATAGAGAAAGACAGCAAGCAGGCTGGAGGGGCCATTTAGAAAGATGAACTTGATCAAGGAAGGTAGCATAGGAATGCGCCGAAAGAAGACGGTGCTTGTTTAACACGGAATAATAGTAAGATTTCGCGACAAATATCATCCATAATAGAGGTGTTATGGCTTAGATCGCGTAAATATATAAATGTGTCGTTATATCCGCCACCACCCGACACAGCCAATTAGTGATGGTTGTCACGTAAACAGAACATGCAAATTCGTTACTAGTACAGCACACCGGTGTGTTTAACGCCACATTCATATTTACGCGATCTAACTCATGTAAAGAGGTGTTTAATTAATGCCTATTACCTGCAAAGACACATGGATCACAAACATGTTCATTCACAATTAAAACGGAGCACGTTGAAAAGTGCTCAAAGAAGGCTCGGAGAGAAGGAAAGAGGAACACTCGGGTTAGACAGCATCCGCACCACCTCCCGATTAGCACGATTGGGTGCGGCGAAAGACGTTCAACAGACATAGATTAAAGACACCTCTCCGTTAGGAAAAGCAAGCGAGACTTGGGCAGGACACGTCACTCGAGCGAATGAATGGCTGAAGATCGAGACGAGTGTGGAGTGGCAGCCAATGTGTCCAAGACGACGTCCACCTCGGAGATGGTTCGATGAGATGAGCCCTTGTGCAGTCGCGAAATTCATTCTCGCATCGCAGGATCAAGAGATGGCCATGGCTCGGGGAGGAGGCCTCTATCCAGCAGTGGACTGAACATAACCAATGACGATGATGATGATGGAGATTAATGGCGTTGCTTCTCTGTGGAGTGCACATCGTAATGAAAAGCTCAAGATGGTTGTGCAGTTTACTTGAAGGCATCATCCGAGTGATGCGCTACACAAATTAAACTATTTTTATGACGCGCTTTTATTTAACTCACTCTGTCTGTTGTTGTATCCTCAAAACTTGTAACTCAATTTTAACCCACTTCTCAATGTGGTATCGACTGCAAACTTGGTATACAAATGTCATACTAATGCCAATACTATATTCTATCATAAATATATATATTTTTAAACATTCTTTTTTTATATGTTATGTTTCGGCTTGGGTCTAATTGTCCACGCTCAACTGACTTTGGCTGTAATTGCACGCGGGCCCTTACGTTGTGGCGAGCTTCGGGGACACTTCTCGGAGTCGTAGAGTTCTTCCATTACTAGTACATTTCATAAAGGCGTGTTTTTAAAAAAAATGTTTTTTTATATTACTTATTTATTTTACCAGGTAAGGCACACTGAGCTACAGATCTGTTTTTCAAAAGCGACCTGGCCACAAATGATAGCCCAATGAGGTGGCTTATCATGTAAAAATTTAGAGGAGCCAAAAACTCTAAACGCGCGTTTCTAAATGTGAAGGGCAAACCAGAGGACGCGGAGAAAATCCCACGTGACCACGGGGAGAGAGACAAGCAAACTACCAAATATACAGCAGGCGTCAGGGGTGCGGATCAAACCCGCGACCTCCTGCATGCCAGCCCAAGTCAATAAGTGCCAGCCACAACGACAAAGTGAATTACTACTCTGCTGCGCCAGGCGCCGAACTCCGCCTGTGACACAGAGCGAGGAGCAGAGGGAGGCGTCTCCTCTTGGACATCACAGAAGACTCGGTCCTCAACCCAGAGGAGAAACTTGGCGTGGGGCAGGCAGGGGGGTGCCTGGCCGCCCCCTGGTGGACAAAGCTCCGATTTGGGTCCCCCTTGACAACCTCCATGATGTGTTTTCAACAAGTGGACAAAAAAATAAACGTACTCTTTGGTTCTTTCGGTAAAGTCACGTAGGTAGAAAAATAAAATAAAAAAATATATCACGACGTTTCGATCGCAACACGAGCAGTGGAACTGGTGAACCAGGAAGAAAGCTTCAAATCAAGAAAGAAAAAAACACATTTAAAACGCGGATTAAATTAATTATTAACGCAAAATGCTTTCATTTACGTTGCACGTGTGTTTTTTTTTCATTTAATTAAAGCAAGGAACGGGGTTGGCTTCCGCAAATTGCGGGTTTAAATAAGGCGGCACCACTTCGTTCAAACGGGGCACGCGCTCGTTCGCCGGAAGCCACACCAGTGCTGTTTTATGTCAACCCAAAGAATTAACGGATGAAAAATAGGAATAAGTTTGACCCTTTCTGGCAATAAAACGGGTGTTAAGATGTTAAAAACACCAAATAGATACATACTTTTTGGTTCTTTCGGTAAAGTCACGTAGGTATAAGAAAACAAAAAACACGACGTTTCGGGCGCAGCAGACCATGCTTTCCCACCTGATGACAGACGCTTGTGTTGCACCCGAAACTTCGTAATTTATTTTATTTTATACTTACGTGACTTTACCGAAAGAACCAAAGAGTATGGATTCCTGCAGTCACGAAAGCTTCAAATCACCAAATATATACCTTTTGCAAGGAATCGGTGAGAGAAAATGGGAACGTGATTGGCTGGTGGGTCAATGACCCTTCGAGAAAGGGGCTTGAGGAATATATAAGGGGGGGAGCGTGTCTCGTGTCGGAAGTAATAAAGACTCCTACCGTCGAAGAACGGCATAGTCGGGAGTCACTACGTTTGTAATAACAGCAGTAGTGAGAATAGTAGTAATGATTACGATACGATCGTGAGGACTGATTTAGTGCACAATACAACAAAAATCCGCAGACTACCTGCTGGATCTCCTCTCTGTTTTAAAGAACAAATTAGACCTCAGGTCTTCGCTCATTTACCAGCTTCACATTCCCTATTGCCGTACAAAAACTGGAGGAAGGGCTTTTGCTATTGATGCTCCCAGGGTCTGGAATGCTATTGCCAATAAACTGCAACTTGAATCGCTACCAATGAGATGTTCTCTCAAAACTGCTCTTGAGGAGTTGTACACCCCTAGCTGCCACTGCTATTCATTGGCGTAAAATAAAATAAAATGTTTTGCTCCGGATGACGCTGCAAAGTATTATCTGTATTTTGATTTAGCGTGCTGATCTTAAAGGTGCATTGAAAAATTTGATACTCCGACTGATGCTTATGTTGTTGTGGAGTAACTCATGCAGCCAGCCATGGCTGTAGGATTTGGTGTTACATATTATTTATGAAGTTTGTTAAACAAAAATTCGGTCAGTCCCTATGGTCACTGTTACATTGCAATTATGGCTTTATTTTGTGATTTGGAAAAGTTTTTGGTTTGGACATGTTTGTTTTGTTGTAGTACGGAGTTAGACTGATGGCCTTAATCTAAGTGTTCTTGTGGTTATTGTTGTTTGACTTGCATCCCACTGGGATTTTTGCACACAGCGTTGGTGTACGGTGCTTTTTCAGGAATATTTTGCTGTTTTTTTCATGGATTTTCTGTTTGCACAGTCACATAGTCACTTTAAGATGTTTTTCTTGTTCGTGTTTTTTTGTTTGTTGTGGTTGCACCCGATTCAAGAGCCAAATGGCTCACAGGGCTAAACCAGATAAAGAAACTGAAGAAAAAACTGAAATTCTGATGAACCGTAGGTACACGAGTGTGATTCATTCATTGTCCACTCCTGCTGTTCACACTGCCCAACCATAAGTGATCTACCAGCCGCCACGAGCACTAAAGTTCTGCCGATATCAAAGCAACAGAGCCGGCACTGCTGAGACAGCGGGTTTGGCTTAGACCCCGTCACTCTCCATTGCTGAGCCTGTTGGAAAAGTAAAATTGTTCACTTTCAATCACCTCGTCTTTGCAAAAAATAACTAAAAATGTACTATGGGCATTTTGAGAGTCGACACTTTAACTGTCCATTGCATGGTAATGTCATTGTCCAAATCCTACATTTAAATTATCCAGAACCGTAAAAGATAAAATAACATTATTTTAGAGGCCTCCTTTGCAACAACAACAAAACCACGCTGGAAGAAGCCGCATATCGTTAAGACAAAATTGGAAGAGTCGTGAGTAGCGGTGGGATAGCTGCCAACTGGTCAAAAATAAACTCCAATCATGTGCAGTAATGTTCGCCTTCACTTTATTCAATCTCAGCCCACCTATTCGGGCTCATTGTATATACAATGTGTGTAAGCACGCATTACAGAGTACAAACAGGATAACGACTCGACATAAAAGCACACGACGAGCAAGAAGCACCGTCCCTGTGGCTTATGACAAAGGAAGCCTCCTGCAAGAGACACACCAGCAATGGCATGTGTATTTCGTGCCACAATCGGGACCGTGATGTTGAGCGTCCTCCGTTGTCTGCACAGGGTTCTCGGTATTTCTTGCCTTTGTGCCCCGCCCATTCCAGCTGAGAATGAGTGATACGTACGATAGGTGTAGTCAACGGAGGACTAGAGTTCTATCCGACGATCTAAAATGGTTTATTGGAAAACAATTAAAATGGCACGTAACAAGCGAACGCCAAAGATTTACAAATGCATGACTAAAGAGTGGTATTCCACATTTCAATTGCACCATCTTCTGGCATGTACTCGCAAGTGAATCACACCATTCAGAGCAAATTCTTCAAAAACCGGGCCGCTAACGATGATTCGCCAAAAAGTTACTGCTCTCTGACATGTATCGTATATATATTTGAGAGCGTTATATTTGTAGTTACATTAGTATGTTATGGAGTATCATGTATGTAAATACCTTAATTAGTCGTGTGAGGATTGTAGTTTAGACACAACACTTAACCCAATGCATTTATAATCTTCTTAAATCCACATTTTCATCTATTAACATACGATAGCGAGCGTAGGAAAGCCCCATGCAATGCAATCAATGACGTCCATAAGAACGAGTATTTTAATTTACAGAAATAACACGAATGGCAACATGAAAAAAAAAAACCGTGTCAGAGGAACTTGTGCACCTAACGCATCACAGAGTTCTATAATACGGTGGAGTTTTATACACACATTGCAGCACTGTCAAAATGTTCCTGTACAAATATAACTCAACTGACAACCACCACCAACAACCAGCTCATGTCTCCAACCCTCTAAACTTGCCTTACGCATCGGATCATAGCGGCATTCGATGAAATAGCCTGAACACGGCACACTTTGATGTTCTAGGTACATTTCATTCAGGCACAAGTCTCCACCTCAACAGTTCCCACAATGAAGGTCAATCGCAAAGCCAGTCCACAGACCTCTCAAACTGTTGGAAACAATAGGAATAGCATATTTTTTGGTTCTTTCGGTAAAGTCACGTAGAAGGGAAATAATAAAATAATCAAAATAAAACGATGCCGTTTTTGTTTTATTATTAGTTCATTATTTCCCTTCTACGTGACTTTACCGAAAGAACCAAGAATATGAATCCCTGCAGTCACGAAAGCTTTAAATCGAAATAGGACTAGCATTTATGTATTTATTACAGAAAATATTACTGAGCCTCAAGGCTTTTAGGGGCGGTGGGGAGATTTGGTCCTGCATTGGGGTTGCTGTGGCCAGTCACTGGGAGGACAAAAAAAACACACACAAAACACTTTAAGAACCCTGCACAGGTGGGTCCCAGACCCATGTTGTCCTTTTGCCACCTCCTGCGCACCTTGCAGCCCCTTGCAGCCACAGGAGAGGCTTCAAGCGCGTGATAAAACCTGCGTGGCTACACCAGCGTGCGCTGCCAAAACCTAACACCAGCCTACAAGGCACCATTTATCAAAACCTACAACTCAAACATTGAGCTCGGTTCTCCCAACTCTTAAATGTGACGTTTTCAACATGACTAGAAGGACGCACGTTTCAATGCCATCCCTGACGTATAAACACCCTCAAATTGCAACACCGGAATGGCAGACCATCGACAAATTTGAACCAATAATACACAATCAAATTACGTTGTAAAACGGTCCAGTAATCCTCGACACCGTCATAATGAACCTAAACCTCTGTATCAAATTCGAGCCAATATGAATTTTACCGATAGAGCATTATTGGCAAATAAATCAATGACGATTTGAGCTACGAACCAGTCGCGGGAACGTTACCTAGCGTGTCACCAGCAATACTGGCAGTACGTACTGTGGAACAGAAGATTCCATTGGGATTTGTTTTATTCATTCGAAGACATTTCGACATCCATGAACCAGCTGATCCGCAGCCACCTCGTTTCTACGTATTCTTGTGAACAAAAATATAAAAAGAGGTTTTTAGAGAGAAAGTCCGAAAATGCAATATACAGCAGTTAAAAAATAGTGTTTTTTTTCCATTTGTTGCATTTCAATAGGTTCACGCAAGTTCTCACATGCAGATAACGCGAGGCGATAAAGCTACAGAGCGCCCAAGTCCAACGCCAAACTGCTGGTGGTGCACGTGTCCTGCCCAAGCCATAGCAAAGACCCATCCGCCGGTTCTGTTCGTCTTCTCCTGCTCCATGTGACACGTGTGTGTGTGTGTGGCGACTCCAGTCGCTAGCTTGAGAGCCAGCTCCAGTCCAAGCTCTACACAAGGTGGACAGGGGAGGCACCATTCACAATCACACCTGTGCCGGCGTGGCACCCAGACCGGCGTGGCACCCAGGCCGGCGTGGCACCCAGGCCGGGGTGGCACCCAGGCCGGGGTGGCACGCATGCCAACGTGGTGTCAAGTCAACATGGTAGCGCTGACGTGGAAACGCGAGCCAAGCCATCAAAGCCTGGTTCACACATGTAAGCCAGCAAGTTTCCCAGTGTTCATGAAAAACAAAATAGCGCGAGAGCCCTAGGGGGACAACAACAGTGAGTGGGACACTCTCAGACAGAGGGCAAGCAGGCTTCACGAATCATATTTACAATTGGTGCTCATTTGTAACTCTGCCCGGGGAATTCTACACTGACCAGGTTTTTGCGGCTTGCATTGTATTCATGCCGAGACGAAAATCGGTACCAAAAGAATTCACTCTTACCTCTCACGTTGCAACGGTTTTCCTCTAAAGAATGTGACGTTGCCTTTCAGGTTAAGTGAAAGCTGGAGTGAATCGAGTTTCTTCGGCACAGCCCTTCTTTTTTTAGTTAATTTTAACGGAAGTTTTGCATGTGTATGATTCAACCAAGGCCCTTGCGAGTGCCATCCCATAATCACATCAATGGTTGCAACATGTGGCTAACATGGTCAGGCCAGCTCCCACATGCCCAAGTAAACTGTTATATAACGTTATTTGGAGATCATGGGTATTATGATCAGCTGGAAAGAAAGACTGCGGGCTACACAAATTTTAAAACAATACCCTCTAAGTCTGCTTCTCAGTGTTGAAAGCACCAAAGAATCACAATAACTGTGAACACTGGACAAAGAAATCATCGACCAGCAAATCTTTCTCCACGTTTCTTGGTCTTCACACCGCCTTCAGAATCGCGACACGCCACTTTTCACCCAGGCGGCCACATCATCAAACCACTCGCAGTTACTCACCACTCAGTTACAAAGCGCTCGCAGTTACATACTGGCCAAAGGCCCCCAACTGCCCTAGCAACACCTAGCGGCAGTCCCAGCAGAACCTGCCTGAGCAAAGCTTCATCGCTCACCCGAGCAACATGCCCCACGAACTCAAGTTTCCTCCGTCCAATCGTTGTGCCGACATCAGGCGTCGCATTCTGGTCACGCTGTAAAATTCTGGCGATGGCCTCGCTAGTCACGTACGAGGTAAAGCTTACGCGGAAGCAAGCGCCTGTGACTTCAATGTCCAATTTCCTCATCGTTCGTATCTTGCATGCATAGAGCAAGATGCTGAAGGCAAGAGACTGCGGCGGTTTAATTTTACACCCGACGGTACCTTCATTTCTTAAAATAACCACAGACGCAAGTCCAGTTCAGCGTCAGATCTCTATGCGAGGTTTAGCATCCCTCATAGTCGCAGGCATCTGAGGGACTCAACGCATCCCCAATGCCTCCTCAGATTTGGACTTAATGAAAGCCAATTTCCAAATTAACACAAGCCCAGTAAACAGCTGTTTATTTAACCATGCTGCGACACAATACCTGTTGTCGCCACAATGTCATCGTGCCCCCAGGTGGGGTCTGATGGAATTAGACCTTAGATTATTTCTCTAGCAGACTTTGTTTCATCTGCCTGACAACAATTGCTTCAATACTTAAACATACACATTATACTTTGGTTCTTTCGGTAAAGTCACGTAGAATGAGAATAAAATAATAAATTGATAAAATAAAATAACACAATAATATTCTCACGACGTTTCGGCCACAACACAAGCGGCCTTCATCAGGTGAAGGGGACGAGACTGTCTGAAGGCCGCTTGTGTTGTGGCCGAAACGTCGTGAGAATATTATTGTGTTATTTTATTTTATCAATTTATTATTTTATTCTCATTCTACGTGACTTTACCGAAAGAACCAAAGAAGATGAATCCTTACAGTCACGAAAGCTTTAAATCGAAAAATACACATTATACGTATATACATGATATCAAATAACCTCCTAAAAAAAATAAAAGTTCCTCCCTGGTCATGGGACATTTGTTCAGTTGTGTGACCAAAAGCGAAAATTCCAACATTTGTATGGTGAGGGTCAATGTCTCCTTAGACCATTACTGGGACTTGCCACATTTTCTAAGATATTCTTATGCATAGAGGATCTCAGTAGTACTGGGTCACTGCTAATTTAACATTAGCCCTACGAGCCACCCGACTATAAATCAAATATTAAGAACTATGGTGTACTAGATTGACTATTTTGTCTCATCCATACTGTATTCAACCACCACACTGCAGGCGATAATACTTATTCATACTGTTCAACCACCTCACTGCAGGTTATAACACTTGTTCATACGCATCAACCTATACTGTTTACCCGTATTATTGTACAGGGAAATTTAGTTTTCAGGTCCATACGGCGTACAGCCGTTTCAATACGGGCAAAAGATGTCTATTTGTTTGTGTTTCTCCCTTGTGATGGGACTTTGTAGGATGAACGTTGAGATTTATAAGGGCACGGGCTGAACAATAAGGTCTGAATTGGTCCGTAATAAGGTAGGCACTGCTAAGGAGCTGACAGGTGTGCTTATTTATACTGTGTTCAACCACCACACTGCAGGTCATAACACTTCTCTTTCTGATTCTTTCCTAGCACTGCTCCCCTTTGGAATTCCCTCCAATCGTCTCGTTTCCAAATGTTTACAACCTTGCTCACAAAATAAACGCATTAACTCCCATCTATTACACCTTCAATAGCGCCATTTGTTGCTAGCCCTTTTACATTTTTGGGCATTTGCGCAAATGCTCAGCAAATGTTATGAAAGTAAGGCCTCTGTGCTGCACAAGTGCCTGGACGCCGTGAGCGGGCACTTCTTCTCACCTTGAGGTCCAGCTTCTGCTCACGCAGAGTCTCCTGGATGACATCGACGCAGCGGCTCATCTGGCTGTGGCCCTCGGCGATCAACATCAGAGACGCCTCACTGTTGGGACGTACACACGAGCACACACGCGTGCGCACACACGCGCTGCTCAGGAGACGATCGCAACACGTTTCGAGAAACGCACAAAAAATGCACAGGGCTGTCATTTTTTTTCTCACGTTGGACGACTCTGCTGTTAAGTCAATTAGTCCCCCGACTTTCCTTCACGTATTTTTTTTCTTTTGTAGCGGCAGGACGTTGTTTATTGACAACACTGGAGAAGCGTTTTCGGCCTCCGCTCTTCGAACGTCGAACCACTGAGCTTGCTGGCAAGGCACAGAGGTCTAATTCTCGCTTCATGAAGCAAACTGCGGCACCACTGAGATCAGGTCCCTAAGGGCTCTACAACTACACCACCGTAAACGTATGGTCCATTTGAAAGGTTCTTCGATGCCCTTTTGGGTTGCACCGCGTGTTGTTCCGCAAGATGTCCGACGTTTCACTCCGCGTGCTGGAACCTTCGTCAGCTCCTCAAGAAGCTTCCAGCAAATTGGGGAGTGAAATGTTGGACGTCAGGACACGAGGAACACAAGGAGGTCGGAATTAACACGCGGTGTAGCCCGAAAACAAATCTAGAGACCTACAAGTCACAACCGCGACAACCCGTGTAAGTAGCACTTCAATGGAGGTAATGCGAGTATTATGGATAATGTTGGTCGCGAAGGCCTACGTGTTCAACCGAGGTAATGTGACTGTGCTGAATGCCAGGTATTAAAAATGAGCTGATGGTCAGACAAGGCGAAACCACACTTGAATTTAAAAGCAGGGGATTGTGTGGTGAAAGACAGCCATCGGCGTGCACCACAGGTAGCTGCTCTGTGCCATCCGCATCCTCTGGGGATTGTTCCCGGTCAAGATTGGCGCCCTGCTCCCAGTTGTGCAAATGATGCCACTAGCGTGACACCATAGAACCTGATAATAGCACACCTGGGATGTGCAAGTGGCTCGATAGCAAAGTTGCACCCTGGCACGTTTTCACGTGGCTCTCTCACAATGCCGTTTTGATTGCACCATTCGTTGAAAAGTTGACCGTCTCTCCATCTGCTAATGCGTTTCTTATGGAGGCATGAGAAGAAGAAAAAAACATCAGCCAATAAAAGGTTGGGTGCATTGATTTTCACAAACACCCGTGAAAGCGTGCTTGGATGAAACCCAGCAGGCTGCAATCTTAATGAATCGCACATCGCTTGCAAGTACAAAAATATCTACGGAGACACTTGTATGGAAGGGGGGGGAGGATGCCCATTCGGATTGCAGCCTCCGCCTAATCGGCATTGCAAATCTGCGAGTGGTGCAGTACCAACTGAAGGAAAGGCAGTGTCTCAATGGCGAGCCACTCAACGTTGCAGGCTCAACGAGGACGCTTGTGAGGCCTTAAATGTGGATGATACAATTAAATTAGCACCAACTGAGCTGTGACTGCGTCTCAACGAAAGAGTGCTACGCGTGTGCACGTCGGTGCTTAGCCCAGTAGAGTGGTATACACCCCCCCCCCCCCCCAACTCCGCAGCTTGAGCTCGTGACAGCACGTTTTCCCAAAAATAATGTTGACATTTAGTCCACAGGCTGAGTCCTGCACTGTAAAAATAACGTGGCATATGGCTCTCAACACGCAGCCGTGTTCAAACCACTTTTTGATGTATTCTACTTGCTTTTTGCACACCCACCAGTGCTCCGATTGGCTGGCTATGGTCACGTGGCCTGTCATAACAAAGCAGGTACATTTCAGCATGGTATTTTTGTCATTTAGATGCGATGGCATTGCGCCGTTTAATATCATAACACTCAAATTTTTCGCAGCCAATTTTATTATTCATGATTTAATTATTTGGGTTAGGTCATGCTAATGACCTGAAAAAATCAGTGTCATTGGGAACCCTGTGTTGGATGGTGGAGGGTTCCATAATGTGACGTCGACAGCAGATTTAGAATAAAATTGCAGAGTGAAAACAAATAATAACACGTTATTCTTCTTAATCTAGGAGAGCCTCACTGAGGGATTCAGGTAGAAATGCGAGTGTCAAGAGAAAGCCCACACACAACAGACGGCTCAATAGCTACGTGTAATCTGTAAGAAGCGTGTTTGTGCAGATGTTGATTCGTGATCAAGAGAAAAATTCATCAAAAATTACAGAATCCAAGAAATTACTATTTGTCCTCAAATTAATACAGGGTGCTTCAAAAAAAGTGTCAACACTTACATGGGACTATCGTTTTCAATGGAAAAAGAACAGATAATATACTGTAACAAGACAACAAATGTAATGTTCATAGATTAAATAAGTCAAAGAGCCTCTCCCACTGGTTCGCCATCGTTGTCAACACGTGGCCTGGAATCTGCTCCAGGCGATCTCCAGAGCCCGGAGGCAGCAGCACGTGTCACGTGGTGCTGTTGCAACATTCTTAGACGCGTTAACACATTGTTTTTTTTAAGCACCCTGCATTTGCAATGGGTGCCTGAAAGCTTGCTGCCATGGCAACGAGACGAGCTCAGGGTCCCACGAGGCGGGTCGCCACGACCCCGCGGGCAGAAACCTGACTGCGACTCAAGCGCCAGCGTAAGACCCCGGGGCAGCGCCACTCTCACAGCGCGCACGTGCCAGCGCGCACGTGCCAGCGCGCACTCGTGTGTGTGCGCACGTTGAATGTGCCATTTTATCGAGGTATTGTATGCTGTCTTGGTGCGGTCTGGGACTTTTTTTTTATTGTTGTTTTGTTGCTTTGCCCGAGCTTACATTTCGTGTTGAAAAATCCGACTCGTGTTTTTACTTTTACATAGTTTTATTTAGTGACTTGCTTTCCCTTTTCTCTATTTAGCACTCCTCTGGTATTTGTTTGTATTGTTCGTTGTTGCAACTTTTTGACCCACCCCTACTGGAACATTTGTGAATAAGAGCTTCAAATCTCATCAAATTTCTCCAGTATAAATAAAGATTACGATCCAATGAGGGCACTGCACTACGAGCCCGGCGACATTTATTCTTGCTCTTGGAAAACATCAGCGGAGAATACCTGAACCCCATCCTAGTTCGCCAAAATTGAGTACCTGGGTGAGGTGTGAAAATGTCACCGCTGGGGAGATAAAGGTGGTCTAGCGTGGTGCTGGACACCACCTTGCACACAGTCTATGTGCCACGTCCTTTCTTAGACGATGGCAATCATGGCCTTCTTCCATTTACCTCTGCCCATAATGTCACTCAAGGACGTTTGAATGAGATGCTCATCCCATTGTTTAAATGTATTAAGTGCCTAACTCTCTGTCGTTCCCGGCCTTTTGCACCCCCGATTTTCCACTGGTCAACACAATTACATTCAGTCTCGTCTTCTCATTATACGTCCGAGGAATCTAACTCGACAGTCTTAATAGGCGCTCGCCAACTGCACTTCCCCCCCCCCCAAACGTATCCGTCTGGGCTACAACTGGTGAAAGAATGCACGCGTGCATGTGCACGGCTCGGCAACGTTACCATCGCTCGGCAGCCATGGAGTGCAGGGAGTTGGGGGTGGTGGGGCCGGGGGCGGGGCCGGAGGGAGCCACGGCGGCGGCAGCGCTGGCGACGCCGTTGACGTTAGCGGAGCTGGAGGAAGCGGAGGCTGTGCTGGCGCCGGGCGGCGAGGGTGGCCACAGGGGCACCTGTCCCAGGGAGCCTGAGTCCGGGCTGGCGCTCATAGGAGACTGCTTGCTCTTAGCCTGGAGGAGGGGGCGGTGGGGAGGGTAGCAGCAAAGGGGGCACAGCAGCCGCTCGTAGTCACCCTCATCGGCATCCACGTCCTTCCCAAACGTGGTGCTCGGAACAATAATCCAGCCATGGAGCACTGTGGTCAGAGTGCCCGACTCACAAATTGTAGCTCTGTCGTCCCGACAGGTTGTTCCTTTCACCTGAAGAAGGCCACTTTTGTTGTGGCCGAAACGTCGTGAGAATTTTATTGTTTTATTTTATTATTTTATTCTCATTCTACGTGAATTTACCGAAAGAACCAAAGAAGATAGTCCAAATCACTGCCGGGAGTCAAAGTCAACAGTGGATGTTTTATTGATAAACTAGTCTGTGCCGTAAGAATGTCGAATTCACACCATTTAAGCAATGCCATCAAAATGAATTTTTATAACATTATTTACCCAGGAAAGCCTCACCGAGTCCCAAGACTCATTTTCAGGAGAATCCTTTTCAGGAGAACCCTGAAAATGAGTTGTGGGTGACGGTTGCTATGTTATTTCCAAAATTAGTCTGTTGCGTTTTTTTCTTTGAAATCCGGCAAATTTGGACCACGAAGCCGGAACCTCCTCTTTTTCTAACAGCGTGTACAACATCTATAACATCTAACATGCATCAAACGGTACCTTTATTGTTAACGCCCCGGCTGCATTAACCAGGGCGGCCGCGGGATTCAAACCGAGAACCTCTGCGGCAAACAAGTCGCAGACGTGCTGCCGATCCAGGCCACGTCTTTGACTCGAGATAAAGCAATAATCAACGCGATTGATTTGTGCAGATTTGTTTTTTTAATATGTTTTGATTCTTTCCCGGTTCTCAAAACTACCAGGGACCTCTGGTAACCTGCTCTTTAAAATTCGTGTCGTGTAAAAAAAGAGTGCTATCGAAGCGACCACAGTACAGATCTACATCTGTAGATCTCCATCTGTCGTCACTGTCTGCGCACGTTTACATTTTTAAGGGGGGCCCGCCTCCTGCCACACACGCATTTTGAAGGGGGGCCCGCCTCCTGCCACACACGATGCGAGGCTTTGCCGACTGGTTGCCGCAAGAGGAAATGTTTAAGGTCGTATCCCTCTTCTTTGATCGGGATGTTAAAGAGTTAAACACACAGCCTACTGCACCGCTGCCGCCAAACGATTCCCGATTTAGCGGAGGAGCTCTCACTTAGAATCCACAATTGGTTTTAAAGCAGAGCCTCGCAAAATCCATTCGTTGCACAATGTCCACATCAAAATACAGGCACAGCTGCGTGTGAAGCTGTCATGAAAACCACCTCTGAGGTCGGTTTCAGGCAAAAATAAAACTAAGTGTTATTTTGGATCCAAATAATTTCCCTTTTCGATTATCCCACTGACCGAGGAGGGGCGTTTATCGCTACGGGGAAAATTAGAAAAATGCTATCACACCGTTAAAACACACACACAATCAAATCAGGTGAGTTTTCCTGATGAAAAACTTGTAAACTAATTTAATGAGTCTACATAGTCTCATTTTAAATAAGCAACGTCATTCACGGTCGGACGGTGGATTGACAAAAAATGGACGATATTTTTCATTTGCCCCCACCAACCATTCCAAGCTCAGCCCCGCTCTCCATATAAATGTTAACAATGCATATTTAATTAATTTCTTATCGACAGCTCTAGGCATGTAATAACCTGCACACTCAAGGCACCGCAAGCTAAACCAATAAAGCATCACGACCCAGGGTTCACAATTCAAATAAAAACATCCGTTTTTTATTTGAACCGTCTTGTTCAGTGTCTACCTCATATGCTCTGTCTTGTCCCGTATGGTTCATGCCATGAGCTTAATATCTGCATCATTTGCATTTATAGTAAACAATCTGTTCTTATCGTGGTATAACAAGTGTCAAAATAAATTTTACCTGATGAGCCGTTACATATCTCGTTGCAACAGTGATCTGCGTTAACATATAATTATTATATTCTTGGTTCTTTCGGTTAAGTCACGTTGAAGGGAAACAATAAAATATATATAAATATAAAATATATGTAAATATATATTTTATTACTTTATTGTTTCCCTTCAACGTGACTTTACCGAAAGAACCAAGAATATGAATCACTGCAGTCACGAAAGCTTTAAATCAAAATATAATTATTACTATTGGTGGAAGCGGCACATGTTTGCCAACGCTGATGATCTCATTGCTCTCGTGAGACGGAGGTTTCAGGAGCAGCCAAATCGCAGCGGTTTCATGTCCACTTACATCGTAGATGAGCGGCGTCTTGCTTTTCTGGGCAGTGCTACTTGTGTTCCATCGCCGTATCGTATAGACTACCTTATATACTACAACAGCTACAACTTACATTTACAAATCTAGATTGAAAACTAACTTCTTTAGAACTCTTTTTGTGTTTCAGTTTGTTGTCCTTCACCCCGCACCTCCGATTAGCACGGTTGGCCACGTACGGTGAGAAAGAAGTTCAACGTGCGTGCATACATCACGTAGAGAAATGTCTCCAGAGCATAGAATTACAAACGAGGGAACGGGATGGAAACAATAGACACCGAGCAAGGAAGGGGTTAACGGATGCAAATTAATGAGGTCCCCCCCCGTGGGCACGAGGTGTTGAAGAGGAAAGTTTTGAGGAGAGACTTGAAAGCAGAGTAAGAGAGGGGGGGGGGGGGGTGACCAGGCAGGGAGTGAGTTCCAGGGGGTGCCGGTGGCTAAAAGAGCGGCGGCGGTGCGTGGCACAGCGGCCGCTGGGCGCGAGGAGGAGGGAGCCACGGCCCAGGGCAGCGGCGGGAGCGGAGGCAGTGGCTGGGACGCACGCGGGGGGAGGGGGGCAGTGGAGGAGGATGCAGAGATAGGGAGGTGGAGGAGGGGGCTAGGCTGAGGACATGGACCCCCGTGGCCCCCAAGCTCGGGGATAGGAAGCCAGTGAAGCAAGGCCAGGACTGAGGTGATGCAACATGCTTAATCGCATCGAGGACACAACCTGCGAATTTGTTTACAGATCACTGACAGACATACCCAGGGTACATCACAGCCAGAAAACACACGTTGTTGGCGTGCACATGCCGCTAACAGGGCAAGTAATTTCGTAGGTTTGATTGCAATATGAAAGATGATGAAAATAGCTCGCCACATCATTTTAATCATACCCATGGCTTATGAGACCTTCCAACTGCCATCTGTTTAAAATGAAATAAAAAAACAAATATTCATAACATTTAAAAGGCAATGAGCATTCCTTTGCTGATAGAGCTATGGGGAAAAAGATTCACGTAACTCACTTCAAATTATGTGGTTCACACCAAATATCAATTGATAAAAGCAAAACAAATACTGAGAACACTGAAATGTAAACGGTTTTACTTTCTATCCCATCTATTACTGTGATTGCGAAAATCAACACATATATCAAGTGATTAAGACAGAGCACTCACCATCGTAATGCACCAAAGATCCCCCCTGTATAGCCTGAACAGACTTTCGGGGAAAGTGCCGTTTTTTACGACCACCTATGAAAGCCATTTTTGCCTCTAATGGAGATATTTACACGCCACACCAGGTACTTATTTGTGACCGAGTCGATCTAGGGGAGGCCCAGGACTGGCTCAGATATTTGCCACTGGTGTTGGTGGCTGTGAGCGGGAATTTAATTCGGGTCGCCGGGTTAGTAGCACAGCGTAGGGAAGAAACCCTATTATTATTACATTTTGGTACTGGCAAAGGAGGTCTAATGATGTAGCTGCTCACTCCGAGCCCTCATTACTATGATAGTGCATTGTCTTTGAGCTGTACGCCTTTTGGCGTCCTCTGGTCGAGCACCAATTGGGTCGAGGCTCAAAAGAAAGCCGTCCCTTGGTGTGGACCAATCAGTTTCAAGGACAATTAATATATTATCATAGTATGGTTTTTTTTTTGCATTTTGACTGCAGGTATTGTGGTTAATGCAGACATGAATCCTTGTAAAAAGGTTTCAGTTTTGTTGCCAGAAAAAAGGGGAAAAACCCTATTATTACATTTTGGTACTGGCAAAGGAGTTCTAATGATGGTAACAAACTTGTTTCTGCATAATTCCTGCTACGCCATCTCAAAATAAAGACCCGAGTTTGAATCCCAGCAGGGGTTGATTCTGCTCATCATCTTTACGAGGGTGACAAAATGAATACCACAGTGGTCGTCTGACAGCGACTGGCTCGGCGTGAGCAATGGACATTAGAATCAGGGCCACGGATTTTTTGTGAAGGACAGAAAAAAAAAACCTCTTCTGAAGTCAAAATACTTTGCTCGATCTGAAGCAGCCGGACTTGGTAATTATCTGTAGGGGTTTTGCCAATCGACCAGATCGGAATTATACCGTGGATGCCTTTTTCCATTAATTTAACGAAACAGCTTATGAACTCGTCCAACGAAGCAGAGCATTCTATGTCCTTGGATGCAATGACAATGCACAGAGAGGCAGGGGCAAAATCAATGTGACTGAGAAGAGAGCCGCACGCTGACCCCGTCATTGAACGCATCGGGAGAGAAGCAATACCAACTAATGCGGTCACCTATAAACCTCAAAATAAAATAGATCTGCTTCAGATGGATGAGACTTGGTCTCAATCAACTGTAATCACCCTATTTGCCGCATTGCCATTATGGTTTTTTTCAGAGTTGCCCGGCTTGCTGCTTACACCACGCTCAGAAATGAAGTCAAAGGATGTCCCAGCGATTTGTGCCTTCGAGGATATGCAAGGGTGTCCGCAAATGAATATACCAAAAAGAAAGCTGAATAGTTTTAGTCTTTTATTCGAGATACTGACATAAATTTGATATAAATATTTGCATTAGACTTATGAGTTTTAGTTTGTTGTCAATATTGATTTGTACTTTCTGTTTCAGGAGAAACTCCATTGTCTGACATGATAAGTCCGACTTAACATCTCATGATGTTAAGTCGGATGAAGAACTTAAACATCGTATTGTTAATGCTGTTGTGTCATCATACAT